CAGGGATGGGAACAGGGATGGGGTCTGACCAGCACATCCCGCAGGGGCACCGGGACAGGGATGGGAACAGGGATGGGGTCAGAGCGGCACATCCCGCAGGGGCACCGGGACAGGGATGGGAACAGGGATGGGGTCAGAGCGGCACATCCCGGAGGGGCACCGGGACAGGGATGGGAACAGGGATGGGGTCAGAGCGGCACATCCCGGAGGGGCACCGGGTCAGGGATGGGAACAGGGATGGGGTCAGAGCGGCACATCCCGGAGAGGTACTGGGACAGGGATGGGAACAGGGATGGGGTCAGAGCGGCACATCCCGCAGGGGCACCGGGACAGGGATGGGAACAGGGATGAGGTCAGAGCGGTACATCCCGCAGGGGCACCGGGTCAGGGACAGGGTCAGAGCGGCACATCCCGCAGGGGCACCGGCGCAGGAGCAGGGCCGGGGGCAGCGCGGCGGCTCCGCGCTCGGGCGGGGCGGCTCCGCGGGGCGGGGCGGGGGCGGGCGCGGAGCGGCGGCGGGGCGGGCGCTGTCCATGGCCCTGCGGAGCTCCGGGCGGCCCCGGGCTCCGCCGCGCCGCCGAGCGAGCGAGCGATGGGCAACACGGTGCACAAGACGCTGGCAGGTACCGGCGGGGCCGCGGGGCCGCGGGCGGGGGGCGCGTCCTGCCCCGGGGATGCTGCGGGCGAGCGGCGGCGGCTGTGCCGCTCCTCCCCGGGGCGAGGCTCCCCGGGAGAAGCCGAGCGTGCCGGCAAGCCCCGGAGAAGCCGAGCGTGCCGGCAAGCCCCGGAGAAGCCGGGCGTTGCAGGAATTTCTGCGATGCGCTCGCTGCCGGCGCTGCGGGCGGGGATGCGGGGCGCGGGGTGAAGCGGGGCTGATCCCGCAGCGGCAGCGGCGCTTCCCAGCCCTCGCACCGAGCCCTCGCAGGGGCTTTCTGCTTCATTTCCCCTTCTCCTCACGGCTTTTTTTTTTTTTTTTTTTTTTTTTTTTTTTTTTTATTTTAACACAACTTTTTAATGAGGAGAGATCTTAGTGGTTCGGAGTGGCCGGACGAAAACTGCGCTGAGGTCTGAAATGTTCGGTGGGCTGCCCTGCCTTCAAAACTGCATTTTTAGCCAATTCTGCGCTTGGACAAGAGATGTACAGATTCTTTTCCTCTGCAAGTTCGTAACTGTGGGGTTCCCCCCACCCCCCCGCTCGGAGAATCTGTGCATAATAAAAGCAGTTGGTCTCTATAGAATCAACAGGGTTGAATTACTGAGCCCTTGCCAGGCTGTATCTTCAGCCACTCCGCTTTTCTTCTCGTTTCTGCTCTTGCAGAGCTCCTGCATTGCATCTTTTGTACTTCAGGCTCCCATAAATAAAAAGGGTATTATTAAACTTATTTAAAGAAGCAGGAGGATCTATTGAACACATACACGTCTGCCTGTAATCAGCCAGGGAGCTGAATATAGAAATAAAGAGAGGAATAGATTAGCATTTGGATGTGCCATATATTGTCTTTGCAAAGAGAGGGTGCCTGGGACCTTCAGGGCACAAAAGAAAGCTGCTAAGCTCGTGGTTTAGCTATGAACCAGCGATTAGATTTCTAGTTGCATCTCCTCTCGTTCTCTATTACATTTAAATGGGACATTAACTCCTCTCACAATAAGGAAGTTTTCATTTTTTTTTCAATGCTTCACCAAGTGGCAAATAAAGGCATGGTGAGGAGTGCACGACCTTTGAGAAAATGTATTTTGTGGGTTGGCTTTTCAACTGGGGGCACATGCAAAAGACCTGGGAGGGGGAAAAAAAATAAAAAAAGCCAGGAAAACATCTTTGGGTCAGCAGAGTGGTCAGGCTGGAACTTCCCAAAGAAAAAATATCTGAACCTGGTGGGTAGAGAGCTCTGTTGCAGAAGGCTGGGAGTTGTACCAGCCCTTCTGCCTGCTGCTAGAACAGTCTCTCCTGAGCAGCCTCCACATGCTCAGCCTTCCACACGTGAATTTAAAAAAAGGGATGACATCAGCTGCAACCGCAGCTCCGCGATTCAGGACTTCCTCGCGGTGCTTTCAAAAGGAGTTGTTAAAGAGGAAAAGTTTGATGGTGGGGGAAAAAAAAAATTTAAAAAATGAAGGCTTGATTTATGGAGACCTCCCAGCTCAAACGTTTGTTCTGGTGGCCTAGAAAATCTCAGTCGTGTCCCTCCTGTCTGGGAGGATTGCACGGCTGGGGATGGTCCATTCGCAAACATTTGTCAAATTGCGCAAGGCAAAGCTATGCAGGACACTTGAATGCCTCTGCTGAGGGCTGGATGATGCTGGAAATGTGTCTTTCCCCCAAACTCAGTTCGCTTTTTACAAGAGGAATGACAGTCCAAAGGAGCTGTTAGCCTGTGGCTGCTGAGGAGCTTTTGGAGGTTTGCAGTTTGGAAGTTTATGAACGTCTCTTGTCGGGTTGGACCCCATTCAGCAATTTTTCATATGAAGTTGAATTTTGGATGGATTGTTTGTCTTTCATTATCCAAATGGCATTGTGGAGGGAAGCAGGTTTAGAACTGTTCTTGGAACAGCCCTTTTGAAAATTAGAAAGTTTTTCCGGGAGACTGAATGGTTGGATGAAGTTCCATTTATAAATGTGAGGGCTGTTTAGAATTACTCCAAGATAATCAGTCAGAATTAAGTCTTTCCTTCTCTCGGTCCAAAATGCACCTTTTTCTTCACCCTGCAGACTGAGCAAGGCACTTTCACTCTCATTTTGACAGGGGAATTGTTCTCTGTCCCATGGACTGAAGAAACTTCTTAATAAAACCCAAACAATCAAACAGAACCCATTCAAATTGAAACTTGCTTGCTCGTGATTCACTGCAGAATCACTTTGGTCGTTTTGTTCACCATAAATAGCTTAAGGTAGAAAAAGCCTTTTCAATGCAACCAAATGCAGAGGGAATGTGGAGGGACCTGTAAAAGCCAAAACAAGCAACAATTCAGGTTTTATACAGAAATGGCGACGCTTTTCTCAAACAGCAGAATTCAATTGGAAACCCTATTGCAGACAACTCATTTTTATACCTGACTTTGCCCAAATGTGCTCGAACAAACCGTTCTCGTTGCACCTTTAAATGCTCGCCCAGCCTCATCCTTTTCTCTGCACATTTCCGTGGGGCGATGCAAGAGCACACGCTATCGGTGCCGGAGGGATTCGTGCCGGGAGCTTGGGAAACTCGTGTCTGCCGAGCCTCGATGCTCAGCACACGATGGGCTTGGTCGCATGAACAGCCACGGAAAGGAGTCCTGAGGCTGTGGCTAATGAGAGGCAGCTCCTGGGCAGCCATTGGAAGGGAAGAGAGCTGGGATGTGTCAGATGCGCTTAACAACAGGCCTGAGGTGCTGCTGGAAGTCGCTCTTTATCGGGGTGACAGCTAAGTGACACGCGGCACACGCGGGTGCTGCCACCGGGCTGCCCCGGAGCCCTCGGGATGCTCCGGGAGCGGCTCCGGCACCTCCTGCAGGAGCAGCTCCAGCACAGGCTGGGAATGGTGTTTCCCTGTTT